TTTCCCTCTAGGTAAGCGACGTTAATGATGATGTCAGAAGGGCAGCAGTGGAATCTCTTGGGTTCATTCTGTTCAGGTAATAATTTCTAACTTCAAATTCCATTTGTATTCCGTTTCTTATTGTAGTCAGTAACTAAACAGAAGCTCAATTCCTAAAGAATGTATCTAGGATCAGAGTGAGGACCATTTAATAATAAGATTAGTATTGTTCATCTGAAGAAGAACACAAGTATGTCCTGGGATCTGAGAACTGGTTTGAGGAGTAGTAAAATGATTTAATTATTTCTGTTTATTTCTTCTTGACATTCTGCTTATTCCTTTAATTTTTTTGAATCTGAATAACACCTTCTCCAGTACTCCTCTTTCCAGGTATATTGGTAATTAAAATGGGATATTATTTCTTACATAGGTTTTGTAAAGTTCTTGAAGCTCTTTAATAAGAGTGAAAGATAACAGACCTTGTTTAAATAAAGAAGGGTGAAATTTTTTCAGATTAAAAAAAATTATTTTGGATTTGCAGATTTGGAGTTGAACTGTATCATAAGTTTTCCTTGGCAATATAGTTTATTTGTGGTTAAGAGGACACCCTCTGGAACCAGAGTGCCTGGGTTGAATCCTGGCTCAGCCACTTACTAGGCTCTGTGACTTTGGGCAAGCTACTTAACATCTTTGAGACCCAGTTTCCTCATCTGTAAATGAGAGTAATAGTACCTATCTAAGAAGATTGGTTTGAGGGTTAAGCAAATTAATGTATCTAAACCCCATAGAACAGCGTGGCACTAGTAAGCACTGTTTAAGCACGTGTTAGTAGAGGTAGTTGTAGTAGTTCTAGTTGTAGTTGTGGTGGTTGTTGAAGTACTGCTGCTGCTTCAGTAGTTCTCCTTACTGTCTGCTTAGCTCCAAACTCAAATACCAATGTTTCTTTCAGTCTGAGGGACTTTATCTTAAAATATCGGTGAAGGAAATTCAAAGTACTTCTTTTAGCTTTATTTGGGCACTCCCTGTTATAGCTTATTTGTGAAGAAATTAAGTTCCTAAGAGACATGTTAAATGAGTCAAGTCTCTCTTATTCTTTTAATCCCTGTTAGAAATTTTCTACCCCAAGTTCCCTGGGACTGAAGCTCTGTTGTAAACATTGTGATTTAATTCAACAAATATTTATTGAACATCTTTTGTGAACTGGTGCCAGATTCTCTCTGTAACATCCCAGATAGGAAGTCACCCATTTACTGTAAAATATTTTCTTCCTGTTGTAGATAAAAATGTTGAATAAAACAGAGCAAAGTACAGACCATATAACATGCTAATAGGTTTCTCCCTATACCAGCCAGTTCTTTTGAGTGAGGTGTTCAACCAAATATTAATCTCCTTCACTGTATTTTCTAAGCCTTACTACTTATCCAACTTATTTACAAAGGCACTGTAAAGACTTAACTGAATCCTAGAGATATGCATTATTTACCCAGATCTATATGTCTGGTATCTCCAAAACAGGAAATGTGATTAGTTGGGTGTGATTATTTCTTGGCAAATCTATGGAAATGGCGGATGTTCCTTGATGCCCTTTGTAAGATCTCATGCAGCAGACTTCACAGCCTTAGTTTCTTGAATCTTCTTTTTTCCCTTTCGTGAACAAAGGGATAGTTAGCCACTTTTGCAGGTTTTTTTGTACCTTTTTCATTTTTCTGTATTTCCTCCAAAATTCATCAACACTGGTTCCATAATTACATCCAAGAAGGTAATTGATTTAGTTTAGATACTTGAATTCATTTAAGGCAGCCAGGCTTACTGTCTCTTCACCTGTTTTGCATTTTGATCAATCTTGACGACATTACTTTTTCTGTTTACAAAAATCATTCTCCCTGAGAGAATAGACGGAAACAAAATAGAAGTTGAGTAGTTGTGTTTCCTTCCTGTCATCTTCAGTATGCCATTGCAGCCAAGCCGTGACCTTGCTCTTTCCCTCTTGCTCGAGTTTAGACACAATTGGGGGGAAAAAAAGATTTTGTCCTTGCCATCCCGAAGTATATTTTTTTTTCCTATCAGGGAACTAGATAATTTAGTATGGAAAGTATACTCTTCCAGGCATACCTTTAGGAACTGGTGGTGTATAAGGAGTCCTACTCAGGACGTTTTGTTTCTTCAGTGTCCACTGTTAATTCTTCCTATTGCCAGTGATTTCATCTTTCAGGTTAATACAAGTCAGTGGCCTGGTGTGTATTTTCTGCCACATATAAAGTTAATGGGTTTCCTGAAAACTTTTTCTTTTCCTTTTTAACCTGATAGTGCTTTTCTCTCTAGTTAACAAAATTAATTTCCGCCCTTGTATTTGTTGTAGTTCACACACATGCTAAATAGCCAATTTCAGCAGCAGATGTCTCCCTTGAGCTGTTTTTAGGCTTTGCTAAGTAAGTTCTGTATTACATAGGATACTCCTTTTTTTTTTTCCCTGTCCTTTTTAATTGTGGTAAAAAGATGTATAACAAAGGTTTTGCTTTTTCAACCTAGGGTACTCTTGAAGTCAGCTAATGAGTTATTTATGTGCTTGCTACTTCTGAGGGACCAGTCTGAATTCCGTTTTCATTATTCTTATAAGTAGGAACTGAAAAAAACCTTTGGAAGTGATTTCATCTAAAACTTATAAAGAAAATTAAATTGAAAAATTAACTTGCCCAAGGAGCTAAAGTTAAAACCAAGTTCTCTCTTAATTTTAGTTTAGTATCATTTCCCTAGAGTGAGAATTTTTAAAGGTGAAAGAAACTTAAAAATCGATCATTATCCTCATTTTTTAAAGATAAGGAAGTTGAATCCCAGAATGGCTAACAGCATTCCCGTTGTCATAGAGCTAATGATAGAGCTGAGACTCAAAACAGGTCTCCTGATAGCCACGGCTGTGCCCTCTCCGCTGTGCCTTTGTGATGTTGTTTACTTTTTTTTTTTTCCCCTTTTATTGTTTCTTTCCTTTTGGATGTATCTTTTTAAATGACTTTGCAAACATTTGGCCTTCTTGAATCATGTTTTAAGGCTTTATTTCTTAAATTTTTTAGCTTATTTTTAAGTGTACTTATAGGACATGAATACTAAAAAGAGTAAGCACTTACTTATACTTCATCAATGAAGATGAAATTGTCTTTGTGGGAAACTAAATTATTGTGTATATTATCTTCTTTAATCTCAGGACAGTCCTAAGAGTTGGAGTATTTTCATTGTTTCTTCTTCCTAGTATTTGTGGATTGTTATTTGTACCTAATATATATGATAAAAGTAAAATATTAAGTTGAAAACCATTTTTGCTACATTGCAATGAACCTAGCACACTAATTTTTTATCTAAAATTTGATGTAATGGATAATCCCCTGATAAATGGGTGATTATTAAGCTTATTGTTACCAGTCTGATGGGCAGATTTTATTATTAAACAACTGTGCTAGGCATTGATTGGAACGTGTTTGGAAGTGAATAGAATCTGAATTCTTTTTAACTTGTACTGGAGGAAAATGAAGAAAGAAATTAGTCAAAAGAAGCTTTCGTCTTTTCATATTGAATTAAGTTATTGTGATGGTAAACAAGTTGATGATCTGATATAGATGTTTCTCGAAATGAGACAATCTTGGTGGTCCCTGGCCATCTTTGCTGTGACTTAGGCTGTTACAGTATGAAACTAAATATTTGTCAGTGTATACATTTATACACTCACATTTTCAGATACGGATGGATCTGACAAGGTAAGAGAGAGATTCTTGGTGCAAGTATTTCTTAGACCATAAAAAATGATTTCTTGAATATAAAAACACTACATCATCATAGATCCTTAGAATTTGAAGGAACCCTAGCAGTCAACCAGTTGCCACCCAATGTGTGGATCATTTTTACGATGTCTCCAGTCACAATTTTATATCTTAATCTGATACATATTCTCTGTTTGCTGTTTTCTGTTTCTGCCTCAGCATCTTTGTGTTTGTTATGTTTTGAGTGTTGTGACTTTTCCTTGTCTTTTATTGTTCTTTTTCTAGACCTTTGTTTTTCCTTCTTCATCAATTAGCAATAATATGGAATAAAATGAATTTTTCTTTTCAAAATTGTTTAATAATTTAAAAATAGAGTTTAGAAAGATACCGAGGCCTACAGTCATAAATAATCCCGATTTAGATAAATGAAGAGAAACTGGGCACCTTCATTGGCTTTGTTATGTTGTATTGCTTTGTTGCCACCAGAAGAATGCTAGCCAATTAGAGTGGCCCCTTGAAGTGCTCCCAAAGGCTCCAGTGAGGTAGGAAATTAATGTTGGATAACAGCTACACCTTTCTTCAGACCCTTCATATGTGGACAAATAGAGTTCTGGTGCTTTTAATTCATTTTGTCTTAAAAAGCTGCTGTCTCCTTAATCCAGTCACCTTTCCTTAAAAAGGAGCTCAGGCTCCATGCTGGGTAAAATACGCTTTATATCAAGTTGAAGGCATAGTAGACTCTGAAAATCCTTTTGAATTTGTAGGAAAAATATTTTGAAAGAGAAATAGAGTTGTTACAAAGCCTGATGATTTTCTTTTCTTCTTTAAATGCCTTATTACTTTCAGTGCCTGTACTTTATTTAAAAAGCATTGATACCTGCAAACTTCATGCTCTAAAAACATTTTAATTGCTGAGGTAAAAATGGATTTATTGTCAAACTTTCCTATCCATTCCTGGCTACTATTAGAAGAGTATGCAGCCCACTTCTTCTAATTCTTTCCTTATTGTTTTACTATTTGAGAAATTCTTTTGAAGACTTACAGTCTATTGCTTTTTTTTTTGGAAGTGAGACTATTAGAATCTCTTTATTACCACAGAGGTATTTAACTGCTGAGATGTGTGTGTGTGTGTGTGTGTGTGTGTGTGTGTGTGTGTGTGTGTGCTTTAGATGAAGGTTTACAGAGCAGATTAGTTTCTCATTAAACAGTTAATACACATATTGTTTTGTGACATTTGTTGCCAACCACACAACATGTCAACACTCTCCCCTTCTCGACCTTGGGGTTCCCCATTACCAGCTTTTCTGTCTCCTCCTGCCTTCTCGTCCTTGCCCCTCATCTGGTGTGCCCATTTAGTCTTGTTTTGTTTTATGGGCCGTAACTGCTGAGATTTGCTTTAGAATATAGATTTCTTCAAAGTGTTTTGAAAAGGGAAATACTAGTTCTATATCAAAGTGGTAAGAATTTTGTGCTGTTGTACATTTTCAGAACTAGTTGATATTGGAGTTGTATTTCATTTTCTAAAATCTTATAGAAATACTAGAATGCTCTCATTAATTATAGAAAGCTCTCTGCTAACTGTAAGCAAGGATTTTTTTTTTCCCCAGAAATTAAATGTAAATAGTTTGTCTATGTGTACTGTTTAAACACATACACATGTTTAGAGGCAGTACAGAGCATGTGGGAAGACAGTTCTTTGATCTAAATTGTCTGTGGATAGAACTTTGGCAGTGTAATTGCCAATACTAGTATTTAGATTTTCTGAAACATTTATGTATCCTTCAAATGAATAAAATACAGAAGTACTGTTAGAGTGATATCTGAAAACGCAACGATTTCATGTGTCTTGGCAGGAAGACTATAAATCTTAACATATGCCAAAACCATCGTATTAGAGACTAGAACCAAGAAAGAGAAGAATGGTTTATTTTATTTATTTTTTAGGAACATAAATTATTTTACCTCTTCTCTCAGATAATGCTTCTGAAAAAATCTTAGACTAGTCGGGAAAGGTGCCTGAAGCTTTGATGATTTAGGAATTAAATTTCCAAGTTATACTCTTCCAGGCAGATGATATAGAGCTCATATGAAAAGGTACAGATGAGGACCTGTCTAGAACCATGTTCTGGAAAAGGTTTCTGCTGTTGGGAGAACATATGCCCGGTTCTCTGATGCTGAGATTCTCCATAGCCAACACATTCCTTGAGGGAATTTTCCTAGACTGAGATGCCTGGAAGGGAATAGTTGAGTCATCAGTGTGGGTCAGTCTGAAAAGGAAAACCTAATGTATGGGCTGTTTTCACTTCAGACCCTCTCAGACCTACAGTTTTGTTTGCTGTTTATGAGAGTAGCATAAAAATAAAATATCACCAGTAAATAGATGAAAGTGGCTACCATTTGTTGAATGCCTACCATGTATTCATCCTCGTAAGAACCCTAAGAAATGTAGATGAGGAAACTGAGGCTCATAGAAGTTAAGTTCTTTCCTAAATTCAAACAGCTGTCTAGTAAGTGGCCCAGATTGGATTCATCCCCTGACCTAGCTGACTTCAGAGCCCATTTTCTCTCTACTATTCTTTCTTCATATTAAAAATCAAAATAAGTTTAGAACAAAATTAGGCTTAATGCCCGTATGTGTATAATGCAAGATGAAAGGGTGAATAAAAAATTTCTGTGCCAGAATTTCAACCAAGTCTTTGGGCAGGCATCTTCAGGCAGGTTAGACAAGAGTCCACAGGACCAAGGCAGCTACAGAAACAGGCAGGTTGGATCTCGGTTTTATGAGATCACTAAAGTTTAGGTCTCAGGATTGAGGTCCCATGCCTCCAGTGTACACATGTTCATTAATACCTTTAAGGTATTAAAATACCTGACAGTAATTTTATTTGCTTTTCCTCCTCCTTCTCCAGTAGCCTCACCACTGCAGAATAGATGCCTGGTATTAGCCATTTAACCACCAGTTCTAGTTCTAAGATCCTATTATTTTGTGTGATATCCACTACTGTCTTCCTACCCCTTCCATCAAGACAACTTCCTGATCAAAGGAAGATCATGTCTATATTTAACCAGGCCAAACTGTAAATGGCAATCTTAACTCACCTCCAGATGTGATCATTGTTTTATACATTTATTTTTAGTTCTTTGTTCATATCACTGTTATTTTGCACCATATCTTATGCTTTTTAGGCCTTGAAGAGAAGGCTGCTTATTTAATTTCATTCTTAGCACAGCTTTGCATTCAATTAGGAATTTAATAAATTCTTATGATGACTCTTTTTTTAAAGCTGATATTTATTGATGTATTTTATTGTATTTGAATACCTTGATATTTAACCAGAATGTCAGATTTTCATTTGCAGCTATATAAAATGATTTTTTTATCTAATAATTTTACCCAAATAAGGAAAATTGGATAATCTTAATATAACTCTTAAAGAGATGATTTGATATATGACATAAAATTCTTCTTTTATATAATTTTTGACACATTTACATGGCGGTTCATCTTCTTACTGATCGTTGTATTATTTAGATGCAAGCTGTGCCGGTTCTACTATACGTAACTGACTTGCTCTTCTGTTTTGTTACCTTCATTTTCGGTGAGAAGAAGTGTATCTAGTAGAATGACTGATGAAGACTGAATGGTTGAACTTCGGAGCCTCATTGGGCTCTGGTACATGACAGGATTAATCCCATTTCTCATTCCGTGTTTCATGAAAAATTTAGAGTTCTCTGTCATTGGACTCTGGAAGTAGATCTTGCTGGAGCATTTTCTAAGAGTTTTTACTGACTTTGTGGCCTGGTAATTGCAAGTGATGTATCGTCCAAATGCATCTCGAAATGTCTTGTTGAAGAGGGTATAGACCAAAGGGTTTACCCCTGAGGACACATAGCCTATCCACACAAATATCTCCAGGAGCTTAGTGAGGGTAGACTGATTGCAAGAATCACATAAAACTAAAGTTACATTTGTAATAAAAAAGGGGCACCACATAATCAAAAAGAGGGAAAAAACAATCCCTAGAACCTTTGAGGCTCTCTGTTCATTGGAAATGGTCTGCGCTGACTTTTTTCCAACTGTGGCCATCCTTCGTATAAATATGTCCTCACTTGAGTTGGGCATAGTTTTGTCCTTGAGAGAACCATTCAGCATTGCCACCTTTTCAGGTGATGAGCAAGGCATTTCATCTCTTTGGAAAACTGTGGACACAGTCAACCATGTTAGACGTTGAGGTGGCTTGTTTTTGACCAAGTGAGCTTTCTTCTGTAAAGCACGGATAGTGAGAAAGTAGGTGACAATCATGATCGCAAGAGGCGTGAAGAAGGCAGCCAGTGAGCCAAAGAGCATGAAGTTGCCGAAACGGTCCTTTGTCAGCGCACAAGTGATGTTTAGGTTACCCACATCAGCCTCTATACCTTTAATAGGGATTGGAATGGCAATGCCTAAGGAAGAGGTAACAAAATAAGTTGAGTCAGTTTTATGACATGATTCTTAGTTTAGGTCCTTTTAGAGTATGTCCTAGTAACTTTATGCTTGTTAGTGCATTGTAATTCCTGGTTCCCACAGTACAAAATTCTGTCAAAGTATTTGCAATGGAAGACCTGACAAATGGCATATAAGTAAGCAAATCTGCTATTTTTAAACAACAATATTGGTAAGTGATTTCAGCTTTATAAGTAAAGCTTTCCTAAAGCTATAGTATGTCCATGATATAGTAGGAAAGATCTTCATTTTTTTCTCCATTCCTTCATAATCTGTTTTTATGCTTCTTGTTCTTTCCTGAGTCAAGGAAAAGGAATTCAGAAAAGAAACTGCTTTTATCTTAGTAGCCAATCTAGTTGCCATAGAGAGACATCTGAGTACATTAATGACATCTTAATTCTGAATAGAGATCTGTTGACATTATTTTTTTGACATTTGTGAATGTCCCTTAATCCTTTCCTTTTGACTTCTTAGGGACAGCTAAGGGGTTCGTTGTTTTGTTTGTTTTTTTTAAATAAATGCTGTTTAAAAATTTGAGAGCATGTGAATTGTGAAATTTATTTTCAAGACTTAGAGTTTCTCTAGTAGATATGAAAACTATGTTCCTTAGGCTGATTTTCTAATACTTTAAATACCATAAACTAGGTATTTAAATATGCTTTTGCTTAGGGAAGTAGCTTATTAGAAAGACAAGCAAGACAGGAGTTCAGCCTGAATCTTTTCCTTTTGAAACAGTAAATATTTAAAAAGAAGTCTGAATTAAGTGATCTTTAGAAACCCCTGGCATTCTTGTCTCGTTTTATGAATCCAGAAGCACCCTATCATCTGCACAGCCTTTCTTGGTAGCTAAAAAGCCCTTCGCAAGACTGTTTTCCTCAAACCCTTTCTAATGGAGGCCACTGCTTCTTCTGCAGCACCAGAAAGATGGTTTTGTGTACTTGTTGCTCTCCACCAGGGATCAGCAAACTCAGCTCGCCAAACACAGCCCACGTTCTGTTTTTGTAAATAAAGTTGTATTGGAACACAGTCACACCTGTTTGTTAATGTATTGTCTACGACTCCTTTTGCTCTATCACAGCAGAAATGAGTGGTTGTGACAGAAACCATAACATGGCCTGCAAAGCCTAATGTATTTACTATCTTACCCTTTACGGAAATAGTTTGCCAGCTCCTGCTTTACACTGTTACTTCCAGGTCATCATTCCACTGTCCTTTGCCCCCTTTTTGAAGTGTATTTAATCTACTACACCACTCTCTTCTCCATCCAGGTCATCTACCAACCTCCAGGACATTTTCCATCTTCCTCAGTGGTTTCAGTACCTTACTATAGTCCTCCTCTCTACCTGCTCCATCATCTTCCATGACTTCATTGCATTGATGACAAACTTCTTACACCTTAGTTTTATATTTCTTGAACTTCTGAACTCTAATTATTATCATTTGCAGCCCTGAGGTCATCTATAAGTCCACTTAAAACTATCCCATACCAAAAATGATGGACTTTGGTATTTCCCTTTCTTATCTTGCTTCAGTGTTGTTGAACTTTTCTTTATTCTTATCTTGACCTCTAACTCCTCCTTCCTTCTTTGTTTTCAATTTCTATTAATTCCCCTTTGAGGCTCACATTATCTTCCTGTCCAGCTTGGTGGTCAATCACTTTATAAGTTTTCACTGGATACGTTTTATACTGTTAACTTACTCTTCTAGGTATTTCAGGGTAACCTTAAATACAGCAGAAGAAAGTGAGCTCTGTTTAGTACTTTGCAAGATTTAAAAAATCAGACTAACCTTATCGTCTATTTCTTTTACCAAGTTACTAAATTTTCCTGGTTAGTTTCACAAGACACAGTGTGATAAACTAGAAAGAGCTTTGAATTAGAGTGAGATCTCAGCCTGGGTGCTGAAGAACTGTGACGAGTCCTTGAGCCAGCTATTCAAAACCTCTAAATTTTTTTCTAATCTGAAAAAGAAGTAAATTTCTCAGATGGCTTTCAAATCTGTAAATCTGGAGTCTTTTGTTCTTTTCTCTCCTGCATAAACGTATCATTTTGTATTAGTATCATTTGTTTATATATTTGCTTTCCTTGAGTAAAAAGATTTTTTACACTCATTCATCTTTGTCCATCAGAGACACTCAATAAAAATGTGATGAATTTATAAATTAATGTTATCCAGCCTTAATCAAGGCACCTCTTCAGCCAACAGGCTGTTTACTTTATTGGCTTGATTGTATTTCACACTTTGAAATGTTTTCATTTTTCTTTAGGATTCTTTTCTCTTATTCTCCCCTGCCTCTGACACACACACACACACAAACCCCTACACCTACACACCTGCACACCTCACATCGTCTCTTTTTTCCCTCTTTCTCCTTGCAGTGAGGGTACTAAAAAGACATGGGTAAGTTGACATGAACTGCTGTGGTTTTCCTCCTCTCCACTTCAAAATTTGATCATTGTCACCCATCTTCTCCCCCGTCCCCTCCCCTAGACTTTTTTTTTTTTTTTTTTTGACCTCTTCTACTCTGTCAATCAGACCCTGCCTTCAAAACTGGCCTTTCTCACTGCTTATAAACCTCTCCATCCTGAGTAGACTTGCCCTTGACCCTACTGTCTTTCTAAGCCAGAATAGTAACACTCCTTGCTTTTACCTACAAGCTTCTCAAAAGAGGTTTCATTCTGATATCATTATTTCAGGAATATAAAGATTCAGTGTCTCGCTTTTTTGACAGTGTTCTTCCTGATTAGAGTGAAGTCAGGTCTTTTTCTTGCCCCAGCCTTCCTTTTAGCATTCCAGGTCTCTCTTGATTTTTTTCCTTTTTGATTTTATTTTTGGAAACCCTGGTAGTCTAGTGGTTAAGAGTTCGGCTGCTAACCAAAAGGTCAGCAGTTCAAATCCACCAGGTGCTTCTTGGAAATGCTGTGGGGCAGTTCTGCTTAGTCCTGTAGGGTCACTATGAGTTGGAATCAACTTGACGGCAGTGGGTTTTGTTTTTTTGGTTTTGATTTTATTTTACTAGGAAGAATTGAATCTGCTTGTCAGGCTGCTAATGATCATAGTAATTGTTGTGAATCTGTTTTTCTGATATTAACTTAGAGGTTTAAGTTATCGATTACACTGTACTTCATGCTGAGATACTCTATCATCGCATCTATTTTTGAGCATTGAAGATGGGCACTAGGACATAAAGCAATTTAGAGGAAATGTGATTTCTTTTTATAAATCATTTCTGAACATCAGTTTAACATGTTTGCATCTCCCTTACAACTTCTAGCTAAAGATTTTAAACACTTAAGCAGAAACTTAAATTCACTGTTTTTAGTCTGTACAGTTATGGAAATATAGGCTTCCAGGGTGAATTTGTGATCTTTGATAACTGCCTACAAAATGTATTATTTTGTTTTTCATTTTTCTCTTTTCCTGTTTATCTTCTCAGATTTAATTTAAGATGTGTTTTATTTCTTGTTACGTTAATGGAATCGTGGGATTCTGTATACTTGGTAGACCTTAATGATCTTCTCTTGACAAATATAAAGACCGCTTTCCTACATGTCAATATCAAAGCAGGAAGATGGCTCAGTACAGACTGTGCAGATTGTTCTTTTTGAGATCATCAACTTTTCTGCTTTGTCACACTTTTTGCTGACAGTGTGGTTTAGAAACTATATGATGGATGTAATGAAAGAACCTTGTGTTGGTACCTCAGTAGACTACCTTGACCTCAAGTGCTGAGTTTCATGGCCTACCAGACCTGGTGTTCTCCTAGGCAAATGGAACCATCAAACCAAAAAAACCAAACCCCTTGCCATTGAGTCGATTCTGACTCATAGCAACCCTATAGGACAGAGTAGAACTGCCTCATAGGGTTTCCAGGGAGCGGCGGGTGGATTTGAACTGCTGACCTTTTGGTTAGCAGCTGAGCTCTTAACCACTGTGCTACCAGGGCTCCAAAAATGAAACCAAGGGCTGTGTACACACCAGCACACAGCCTGACATTCCCCACATACCTGTTGAAATCAGCCACACCACTGTGATCTTGATGAATGCTGTAGCTCCGGAGTTATATTGATTGGCCTGGATTGGCTTTTTGATGGCTATGTAACGATCCACTGAGATGGCACAGAGATGCATGATGGATGCGGTAGAAAAGAGAACATCAAGAAATAACCAAGCAGGGCATAGGACAAGTGGGAGGGGCCACATTGGCTCTGAAAGAAAGAAAAACAAAACAGAAACATCTTCTCCTGAAAAATGGCAGTCTTCAGCCTGCAGTTCCTTTTTATTTTTCAATCTTTCTCATTATTTATCTGAAATTTTGTGACTTAACCTTCACGAGATGATGTTTAATTTTGGATAATGGGGACAGTAATATTAAATATTTCTGTAGATGGTACTTTTTTAATATGCTTTATTGTGCAGAGTAATTATAATCTTTTTTCTTTCTAAAACCAGCACCAGTTTAGCATAATTTTTAGCAGTATTTTGACTTTTCCTTTTTTGATCATTCCTTTTGTAATCTTTTAAAAATTTATATAACATTTCAACTGGAACGTAACCTTGCTATTCAAATAAAATTTATTTTTATATTGCTATTGTGTAGAAGAAATAAAACATTTTACCGTATAGGGGAAACAATATAATATGGTAAAAGAGTATTGGAATAGGAGTCTCAAGGAGGCCTGAGTTTTGGCTCTCTTTTAGCAATAACTAGCAACATGATCTTTGTTGCTGCAGACTCTCATTTGGTGAAATAAGTAAATGGAGTGATTTGAGTTTTCTTTTTGACAGGAGTCATTCTTGAATCAAGTTTGCAAAAGGAATGGCTTCAGCTTTTCTTGGGAAAAAAAATGAATTGTTACCCCTCCACATTCCATCATTCTCATCAAACACTGGAGATGTAATAAGCAACACAGACTTTTAGTTTAAAAAAGATCTCAGAATTAGACATCATGTTTAATTTATTTAACAAACTATAGATCACTTACTGGGTACCTCATACAGGCTTAAGCACTTTAAAAATATTAACCCTTTTTGTTTTAATCTTAGGTTTGAGTGTGATAGTGAATATTCTACATAGTTTTCCAACAAATTTACTTACACAGGTGTCTGTACATATGTGGGTGTAAATACATTATGTGTTACACATACACCCACTACCTAGTGTTTGCAGTTCCAAAAGAACTAAAATTCATTTCGGGGTTCTCCCTAGAATATTTCAATGAGGATCCATTTTACAAAACACACACAAGAAACTATGAAAGCAGATTATTTCTGTATAGAACAAATGTCATGCATAGGAGATAATATTTTAAGTCCCCTTTACTGTTTAAGGGGAGCCCTAGTGGCGCAGTGGTTAAGAGCTCGGCTGCTAACCAGAAGGTCAGCAGTTCAAGTCCACCAGCTGTTCCTTGGAAACCCTATGGGGCAGTTCTGCTCTGTCCTATAGGGTCACCGTGAGTCGGAATCAACTCGACAGCAGCAGGGTTACTGTTGAATTATTTAATTGTTGTGTGTCCACTGACAAAATTTAAACTACTTTTCTTGCTGCTTTTTGCAAGTGTACACCTGATCTTGACGTGTATAAAGTTAATGAAATAAAGGAAAGAGGACCAGGATAACCTATGTCTTAGGTTTATAGAGCACCAAGAGACCCTTCATTTGTGCACTGTTTAAATTCAGAAACCTGGGGGATAGAGTGAGGTTTGCTTACTGCCAGCATTCCAGGCCCAAGGAGTGGGGGGACACAAATTAGGGAACAACGGACTTGAATATGTTATTTTGAAGGATTGAGTAGAATTTCTGTGGAAAATATTTGGCTACTTCACGAAAAAGGTAGCAAGGCTGACAGCTTCACTTTTTGGTACGTCTTGTTTCCAGTGTTGCTATGTGGTATCCTTAATGGGAATATTAAAGTATTTCTTCTTTGGACCAAAAATAAATAAAATCTGTATGAGGTTTTATTTAAAAAGGATAAACGATTGCTTGGTACTTGGTTCCATGTTCGGCAGCTTCTTAAAAAGGAAGAAGAGCATCAGGGTGGAAGGAGTCATTCATATTTTGAAGTAAATTACTGTAATCAGACTTTTCCTATTTGTTGAATTTAGGGTGGGAGTAGGGGTGGAGGTGGTAAATTTTATAGATCCGTTGAACTGGAAAGGACCGTAGAGATTATATCACAGATTTTTCGGATGAGCAAAATTCAGGTACAGTTAAGTCTTTGAATATGGAGTGGGGAAATTTATTTATCAAAACTTAACTGTTAATTGAAAGTGTTCTTTGGAACCTTGTTGCTCGAAGTGTGGTCTTCAGATCAGCAAGGATTGGCATCACTTGGGTACTTGTTAGGAATACAGGCTCTCGGGCCTCCTCCCAGACTACTGAATCAGATTGCGTTTTAAAAAGATGCCCAGGTGATGTGTATAAACGTTAGCATTTGAGAAGTACTGCTTTCCAAGTATTGAAAGATGCACCTAGGTTTTCTGGTGAAGGATAGTTATCTTTAAACTCACCCAGAATGACTTGTAGAAAGGAACTTATGGGAGGCCTCTCAAAATAAAGAAATAAAGTACAGCAGAGAAACCTGTGTTTAGAGAGACTCTATATCCCTCTTAGCCATAACATTCAGTTCAGGTTTTCTGTTGGTTGGTGGAAAAGAACCCTGAACGTCAAAGGCAACAATGCATTCTTTGACCAAAGTTTAAAGGCAAACTAACAGTCTAAGCAGTGTGAAAACAACCTCATAGGATTTGAGAGTTTTGTTGTGAAAATTACTTGAAGTGGTGCTGCATTCTAAACTGAAGTTCTGGATTTAGAACTGTGATTAGGGAAATAGAAAAATACTCAAATCTAGAACTACAACCAGAGATTATGATTGTAGTTAAGTATTAAAAAGGCAAATAATTAATGTTTTGTATCTTAGGCTTCCTTTCTTTAAATGCATGTATGTTATCATTTTTTAAAATGGTTTGTTACTTAACGCTTACCTATGTAGCTATTCTAATTCATTAGGGTTATATTTTTGAAAATTACAGTCTGGAAAATTCCAGTCATAAATCTAGTAGGCATGAGCAGGAAGCCACCATAGAACTCTTCATAGAAAAAAGTACATGTCTTTGGAATTAGACTATCTGACCTACATACCCCTAGTTGTAGGCTAAGAGAGAAAGCTCTTTACTGCTGATTTAATTGAGTCTATGAAGTGTTGTTAGCTTCACTTTCCAGCAGAATGAATTTATTTTATAACTCCCAGTTTAGGGGCAGAAAGTAGGAATTAAAATTAATGCAAATCACTAGAATTTTATTAGTTCAGTCAGTGCCTTCTTCCTGTTAACAGTAGAAATATGGAGATGTGATACAGAATTTCTTTAAGCAAGATAGAGACCATGAGGCTGAGGTTTAGGATTAAAAAAAATGAATCTTTCTGATTAGCCTTTATGATTCTGAGTTTCATGAAATACTGGTAAATAGACTGTTTTTGTGAAACTAACATAAAAATACCAGACAATTGCATTAAATTAATAGAAATCTTTTGCACAAAGCAAAAAGAAAAAAAGACTTGTCTAATTGCCTGTTTCAGGTAATCTAAGAATTTATAAAATTAAAAAGTTACAAATATTCTGAATTTACAAAAGGACTTTTCTAGTCTAGATACTTTCAGTCTAAAATTGTCTTTTCAGTTAGTATTAATTTGATAGGCTCAAGGTCAGAGCAGTTTCTAATATTCAGAATAACTGAATAAATGTTAAGTTGATGTGGTAAGATACATTAACTATTCCAAAACTTTATGTATTATTTTTATTGGAGTTTAAAAAATTTTAATGATTTATAATTACATTTATTTGTTTTAATGTATTCTGTCCAGCTTGCTTCCTTAAGAACTTGGGACATTTTTTAAAATTTTAAGTAACGTAAAGTGGAAGAGTTACAGATTAAAATAAAAAGGAAGAAATAAGTATATCTAAGAGCCTGTTTAGGGAAAATCAATTATCAGGTACTTGAACTAAATTACTGCTATTCTGGGATTCTTAAGTTTGACTCTTTTATAAAAGCTAAGACAGAATGGTGGAAGCGTTTAGATTATACAGTATTTGTTATCATACAGAAAGAAAGCATACAAAAATTCTCTGAAAAACAAATACCATTTTCCACCTCTTTTCCCTATCCCAGATTTAACTCAGAGAGGAATTTAATTTCAGTAAGGTTTAAATAATGGCATTTCTGTGTATACCTAAAATAATACAGTTATTGAATATTATAGGAGTAAAACAAGTCTTAGGTAGGTCTTGACCTACAGCAGTTCATTATTTAATTAATTTCATATTAGTAGCACAAATATCTTGTTTAAAATGACTGTATTTGTGCTTTAAATACCACAATATATAAGGAATGATAGAATTGTCATTTCTACTTGTCTCCCATACAAGTCCCAACAACTTCATAGATGTGGGCCTGGGTCTGATATTGTCCTTAAAAAAGAAGTCTGATAATCATTTCAAAAGTTCACACAAGTATTGGTTGAGACCCAAGTATTCTATATCATTTAATATGAAATATATCTTTAACTGGAAAAACACTGGGTTCTCCTTTGTCACTGGGGAAAATTCTGTGACGCTTTTATTAGACGGAGTTATTTAAGAAACTGTAAACGTTGGCTCTGTATGCTAGGTATCACAGTTTTGGTTGTTATGATTTCTCCTTTGCATTTGAGAAAGCAGAATAATAGAGCTGAAGAGTGGGAATTCTGGAGTCAGTCTTCCTGGATTCAAATTGTGTTTCTGCCACTTATTTAGTAACCTTGGACAGATTATCCCCTCTGTTCCTCTGTGCTCCCTGTAAAATAAGGGTAATAATAATACCTACTTCATAGGGTTGCTTTGAGGATTAAATGCAGTAGTACACGTGAAACATTTAGAACAGTGTCTGGCATAGAGGAAACACTCAATAAATGTTAGTTCGTATCACTACTGTTGTTTGACAGAAACTAGCCAACTGGCCTACCATTAAGACACTCCTACTTAGAAACAATAAGCCATATCATCAGTATAAAATAGTGTTTGTCTTTCTGCCTGCTGTAGCAAGAGTGCATGTGTCCCATTGAACTTAAAGTGGTACTTGCAAAAGATAAAAGAAGTGGGATGAGAACATGTTTAACTCAGTGTAAATTTGAATTAAATTTGTTATGACAGTATGCCTTTTACAACCGTTGAATTAATTTTAACTATGCTATTTATTATACATGGAGCCCTGGTGGCACAGTGGTGAAGTGATACGGCTGCTAACCAAAAGGTCAGCAGTTAGAATCCACCAGCCACTCCTTGGAAACTCTATGGGGCAGTTCTGCTCTGTTTTATAGGGTCGCTAAGGGTCGAAATTACTCAACAGCAAGGGTATTTATTATATGCATATCACAGAAACATATATACCCTGTATACGCTGCCGTTTGGGCCATGCGTGTGTGTGTGTGTGTGCGCACGTGCGCGTGTGCGTGTGCGTGTGCGTGTGCGTGCAGAAACCTGTTTTTAACCAGATATTCGGTTTCTTGATGAGATTCATTTTATTTGAAACCAGCCTGCCCTTTGGACAAGATTTTAGTTTGGAAAGCCAAGTTCTGTTATCTGTTCAGAAAATAATTTGTATTGATCTGTAAATCTGGAGGAAAATTATTTCCCTTTTGAGGGTTTAAAAGACAATACTTTCAAAGCTGTTCCAAGAGGACTGTGCCTATAGAGTTTACTGAGATAAATAATTGATGAAAGTATTGGAGGAATTCAAATTCTAAATAGCTCTTATGTTCAAAAAGAACGTAGTTTTCAAATAACATTTTTTTAATCTCAGAGATTCTTCTTCTGTCTTTTATCTTCCAGAAAAAGGAGACATAGTTCAGGGCTAAATTATTAAAATGAAGCTTCTGTTTTTGTTTTGTTTTGCTGCTGCTGCTGTTCTTTATTCCACTGCATTTAAATATATGGGATACCCTGGGGTTAGATACCTTGTATGATAGTAATAGTTCAAATAATTTAATACTTAATAAAAATGCTTCCCTTTTTAAATTTCTGCTTTTCAAAAATAATTGCTTTCCTCCCTCTTTTCAGAATTGGGGTAGACGGCAGCATTTCACTGCATAAACGAATAACTGATTTATTTCTTTTACTGCTGTATATCTTTTTGATCTCTATTTAGACTAACATCTAAACCAAATCACATATTTAAATATATAACCCCTTCACATATTATAATAATAGCTGCCATTTGTCACTGCTGGGTCCTACTTGACAATCTCAAAGATGTCTGCAGTGTGAGATTAGCATACCCATTTTACAGACAAGGTGATAGAACTCAAACCTCTGTTTTTCTACACACCATCTTTCAATTGTACTACAAATACTGTTTCAACTTACAGATCATACTTTTCCCCTTTACATTTTTAATCATTTTTTTTAATGAGGTGAAGGGAGAAGGAAAGGAGAGAGAGAGAAAAGGAAAAATTTAGACACGTTTTCAAACTGTGAATGCCCTGTCTTTGTGTTATTGACATAGATTCTGTTTTTCTTTGCATTCTATTATTTCTCACCTAGGCTTTTTTAAGCCTTAATGTTGTAAAAGCGAGAGCTATAAAGTAAAGGTCGAGTCCTGTGCTCATAGAAAGAAGTGGCAGAAAAGTTGATAGAGAACTAACCATTCAAAAGACCGAGCTCTGCCAGAGTCATCATCATCTTTGTAAAACAGAAATTCAAATAATATATGATGAAATATACAAATCAATGGTTGATTAAAATATCCTCCAGTATAAGTGCACAGGGGCCGCTTTTTTTATTTCACTGCTCTTTTTTTTTTTTTTTGACTTAATTTTATTAGTACAGTGAATGAATCAATGAAGTTTCTGTTGTGTGTTACTTTCACTGTGTTTCTGTTAGGTAGATAAAATCACTCAAGTCGTTGTCGTTAGTTGCCGTGGAGTCAATACAGAGTGGGCACTTTTGTGTGTGTAGACCTCATCCATTCTGAAGATAATCCCTATAAAAAGAGAAAAATACTACTCCTGCTTTTTAAAGCTATCAGAAGTTCTTGTAGTTTAGAAGGTCTTATTATTTGTCCATGTGTGAAAGGCTATCAAAAAAATCTTAGTATTTGAAGTCAGGTCCCTATTTAGAATACATGCAGTTTCCAATTTATGCATGGAACCTTTGAAGCTTTTTAGAGGGCAGCATGTACTGTCTCATGAACTTCCTTATGGAAATACAATAAATGTTTTAAATAGTGAATTAATGAAATAATATTTCCAATAATGATTAAATTCCTAGATTAGTTTATGTTAAAAAAATTTTTTTTCCTACTAACCTCACATTACAGCATAAGTACTGATAGTAAAAGTGTTTGGGGCTATGAAAGATTTTATTTTATAAATAAAAATTAACATTTAAAAAAATAAAATACTGTTGAAAAATATGTATCGTAATTATTTAGGACATAAATGCTAAGACAGTCCATAGATTTTATATTAAAATATATTGAATTCTCTGCTTTTGTTGCTAAAAAATATTTTGAGCATCAAAACGTTAAATACAAACTTAGTTTTCAACTGCTAGATACTTACTGTTTTCCTGTAGACTACTTGGAATTATTTCTTACCTGTTTTTGTATTTTGTTTGTCAGCTCGTTTTAATGCCGTGGAACTTTGCCTTTTAAGATTCCTTGACTATTTAGCTGATCATTTAAGTATCTACCTGCAGGTAGTAGGTTTTTTATATTTATTGACTCATGGATTTTAAAGTTAAGATTGACTTCTACATAACTTATTCAATCTCATTTGTTCCATATAACATTAATTAAATTGTGTGATAGTAAAAGATAAGCATTTTAAAGTTTTCTGTGTGTCTAGCAAAGCACAGTTTAAAGATTGATTTTATACTTTAAACTGCTATGGTGTGTGTGGAGATTAGAGCTTGAATTACATGCTTATTTCCAAGGCTATGATCTTTACGGAAGCAGACTGCCACGTCTTTCTCCCAAGGAGCGGAGCGGCTGGTGGGTTCAAATTGCCAGCCTTTTGGGTTAGCAGCCCAGTGCTTAACCACTAAGCCACCAGGGCTCCTTATGATTGTTACCAAATATGCATAAATATTCCTACCGAATCATTTACTTTATTTCTTGTTAATTTAGAATTAAGGTTGTCCTTTAGAGTAAGATTTCTTCATTATTTCCCATGGCTACAATATGTAGCACTGGAAAGACAATATTAATGAGTAGCGATTCTGATTAAAGCAGTAGAACCATATTCATTATTGCCTGTCCTGCCACAGAATTTTCTTGATTTACTGTAAAGCCTGGGTAATGTTGAGTTAGAATGGGAAATTCAAACCAGTCTCCATCTGATTATATTTAGGGATGTAAGTACTTTAGTTTAGGTGGCTTTCTATTAGTACTTATAAAAATGTAACATTTTAAGCCTGGGTGTAACAGTTTGAATAGCAGTTTTTCTTTATCTTCTGTTAAGCATTTTCTTTACCTTCTAATAAGCATTCTAGTTAAGTTTTACTTTTATAACTTGAAATATTTTTATTCTTACCGTATAAATATAACTCTAAGAAGCCATATCTGCTATAAATAATCATTGTTCTTAAGCAATTAATGAATTGAAAATCAGTTTATGGTAAGCATTGAATAATTTAAATATCCTCTGAATGCTAGTTCTAAGGATCTAGGAGCCCTCATAATTCATCAACAGAATTATTTGTGTCTACCCAGATTCTGTAACTAGGTGTGATTATGCGTGAATCAGAAACTATTTATGTCTGTTCTAATATCATTATCTTTTTATTATACCTAAGATTTTAATATCAGACTACATTTTTTATTTCTGTAATAAATCAGAGTTTTGTGCGCTTACTAACTTCGAGATCTGATTCCTCATATACACACACACACACACACGTATATATATGAGGAGTATATATACGTCAGGAACGCAAACACACACACACAAAACAAACCCATTTCCATCGAATCAATTCCAACTCATAGCGACCCTATAGGACAGAGTAAAACTGCCCCATGGGGTTTCCAAGGAGTGGCTGGTGGATTCGAGCTGCCGACCTTTTGATTAGCAGCTGAGCCCTCAACCACTGCGCCACCAGGGCTCCATCAAGAACACAGACGGTCAGATATCATGAAGATTAAACAGATGGGTCATCTCGTGGGATGCTCTGAGCCAGACCCTTTCCTTCAGTAACTAAATGCAATTTTTTCTTCACATGACACGTGAGAATTGTGTTCAAGTCTAAAATACACAGACTCTAAAGAGATATGACAAGAACTTCATAGAACAATTCCAGTTTTAAATTGGGGCTACATGATTTCAAAGACCTCATCATTAATAATTAATCCAACACATACCTGTCACACATGTGTCCTAGATACTGTTTTGTCAAGAAAAGAATATATTGATAATGGGGAAAGGTTAAAATATAGGTCTATATTTCACTGTAATTGTTATCTTGGTTGATATTTTTAATGATTTCTTTCAATGACTGGGAGAGTAAAATTGTTTTCAAGAAATTATTTTTTATTCTTTAAAGCTAATTATCAACCATAGAAAATAATGAAACATGAGGAACTGTTCACTTACTGGATTTTTAAATAGTCCATCTTTTATTTCAAGGAAAATAGAGATTAAATGAATGGCTAGTTCTCTAATAGTATATCACAGTCCTGTGGTTTGATGGCAGGAACAAAGTGAAATACTTACCAAACATTATTGTCAAGAGAGCAATCGGCATCACAAACAATCCAACCAGTAAATCAGCCACTGCCAGGGATGTTAGAAAATAATTGGTAGCATACTGCAGCTTTTTCTCAAGTGAAACAGCCAGAATAACAAGGATGTTTCCACCAATTGTGGGTATTATCACCGTGAGGATCAGAAGAGCTGCCCAGCGCAGTTTATTTCCCTGTTCCTCACCAGTCTGTTTCATTTCCTCTGGTATTGATTCTGACTGTGATCCAGATCCGTTAGAAGACGTTAAGTGATCAAACGTGCTCTGCAGAATGTCCTCAGGAATTGTGCTTTGTTCAGACCTGTAAGAAAGAGCCATTCTCTGTTTTTCTGTGATTTGATCTGACTCCGAACAGCATGGTCAGTAGCTAGACTGGTCATCTGCTTTTTTAAGCCATTCTACCCATGCCAGACACTCAAAGCCAAGTTGACTCCTTACTTCAAAAAGAAAATTCAGGTCCTCAAAAATGAGACCATACGTGCATCTATCCATGTCTGTAGGTAGAGACTCAGATTTCGAAAGGCTTAGTAAAAAAAAAAAAAAAAAAAAAAAAGTGGCTTTGAAAAATAGGCAATTTATTAGTTTCTTCTTTTTTGTTTTTGCTGTAGCAGTAGAGTTGTGTTCGAACTTGAATACCAGAGATGTTCCCCTAGATACAAAGTATGTGGATTGTATTAATTTCTTTCTTTAATTTCAAAAAGCAGTAAAGGCACTTAAACTTACCCTCCCCCCTCAAAAGGTCTTCTGTGCATTTGTGACAATGCCGCCAATTCCCACAAAAATACTATGTTCCTAATAGGCCTCAGTTAAAGAAACTGGAAATACATTAATATTTTTCAGTGCTTATAGTAAAAATGTAGGAGTTTCTTGACCCTTGAATTTTTTTTTTTTAACCTTTAGTTTAGAAAATGTACAGAAGAATAGGAAAGTCAAAGCACTAAATAATTCCTTTTTTATGGCAGTCTGAATAGAACTTTCCGTACACACTGGCCATCCTCCTAGAAACCCTCCAAGCCCATCTAAGGTCTGAAAAAAGAAAAAAGATTTACCAGATAGGAATACTTATTTGTAGTTGGGTTTTATGTTAACAAGTTTATGTTAATGCTGATATAAATGCCATATTTATAAAGCATTTTAGAATTCTTTAGTTTGAGAGAAGGAAAAAAAATAGATAACAGTATTAGGATCCAAGTCATTGTTTTAGTGATTTCATCTTTCAAAGTATGTTTCTGCACCAGATACTTCCTGGATTTATCACTTTATGCCAAATTTGATGCATTTCATTTTTCTATGTATTTGTTTTAAGTAATAATTTTTCTTAACCTTCCAAGTTCCCGTGGGAAGGAAGAGAAGCTGAAAAGAAGATTAGACCATTTACTCATAACATTTACAAATCTCATATTTAAAGTTTCCCCTTTAGTATTAGTAAATTTTTCATTTTGGTTTCTGAACTACCGAATAGAAATGAAAGATTATGGTAGCAGAGTTCTTGGGGAAAACAAAAAGCTATAGGCTAACTCTATATTTGTTGAATACTTACCTCTTATTCGTGTGTTCCTTTCCCCGAACATATCATCCTATCTGTTCTGTAGACCTTTTGCGGCTGTGACTGAGTCCTCCTCCTGTTGACTTACTCTGAGCCTCCAGCACTGGTGCTTGAAAGCAGTGAAACAAATGTGTTGTATAGCTGTAAGCATGCCAAGGAGGTTATTTCCTCTTTGATACACTCATTTTTAAAGAGTAGCAGCATTCATTATTGTTTGTAAAACCACCAGTTAAGTGTGTTGAACCAGTTCGTGACTGTTATTGAAGTTACATTTTTAAGCACTCTCTGTGATATTTCGGGGACTATAATTAAAGCCTGTCATTTTAGCTTCAGATGGTTTTTGTTTGGGATTAACCCTGGGCTGTTTTTCCCGTTTGAGAAAAAAATCAGAGGTAGAGATTCTAGAGCTTGATTCTGCCCTGTGAGCCTTTATAGTGATTTCTAGAGTTCTGAGCTCTAGCAGTGAAACAAGATTCTTATCCAGCTCTTTTACCTTTGCTATGGAACACAATTAATTTGCTTTCTTTACATCCTTATATAGAAGAGCACAGAAAGGTCTGAATTCTACATGTATACGTAAGTTTTAGCAGGAGCTTTTTCGTTGCTCTTAAACAGATGGTCTCTGGGTTTGGGAGTTTATTGGCAGTTTTTAAAAATAGTTCACACTGAGTAAAATATTCAGTATGTAATGAAAATACATTTCTTCTTATTCAGAAAATTGTGTAAAAACCTTAACAGCTGAACTATCTAAGTTCTCTCTCAACCATAAGACTAGCTTAATATTAGTAACTTCAAGTTTTCCTTCTTAAAGGATCATCATAGATTGCTTACATTGTTTATTTTTTAATTGCTTCTACATCAGTGATGGCATTTGTGGCCTCCTCCCTTTTTTTTTTATTTGTTTCAAATTTATAATCCTTAACTTGTGTTGAAAATTATTGGAAAATACTTGATTCCATTCTGCTGAGCAGATAAGCTTTTGATTTGTTTTATACTTCAGATTTTATGCAGTACTTGCTGCTTTTTTGACTTAAAAATCACTGTTTTAGAAGAATGCAATCTATTGTACTTACTAAGAATTCTAGATGGAAAAATGGAATAATTACCAAGAACAACTAGATAGATTTTAATATGGCAGCATTTCTATTCAGAAATACGGAAATATTAAAAAATACTGCTTTGTTCTGAATCACAATTTGACTTCTGTGCCCTTGCAGGCCAGTAAGGGTCTGCAGAACAAATAATGATTGATTGAAAATGCCAGCACTGTTACAGCCAATGAAAAGACTTGTATGAAATAAGCCTTCCTTGATTTGTGGTTTTAGATAATTTTATAAAATGTTCATTGAGTATATTATAAAAATACCAATCTTGTTATAATGTCTTATCAATACTAAGCATTTTTCCTTAAAACTTTATCTTCTCTTGGCTTCAGAGACACCCCATCCTGGTTCTTTGTCTTTCTTATAGGATCTTTTCTGTTATTACATCCCTATGTTTAATCACTTTTTTTCCGTTAGAAGTCATTAAAGTTGGTGCTTGGATTTTCTTTTTTTTCTTCTTCTTTTAACTGGCATAATGGCTAAGGAACCATAACTAGCTAGAACAACCATTTATTTGGCAACCAGAAGTTATTGGAAATACAACCAAGAATCAGAAAGAAAGCAAAATAATAATAAATAAACGGGTAGATGAGCCTACATTTGCACATGGTGGTAAGTCTTAAATAGTACAAAAGCATATTCTGTGATAAATTAATTCTTGAGACAATTTTAACAAACATGTTTCCCTGCCTACTACAAATTAAAAAGTGGGCAAACACTTGGATGATAGCAGTGTGTCAACTGGGAGGAGAAAAAAAGGGCAGGAATTAAAAAGTATAGAAGTGTAGGTCTACTTAGAATAGAGCCCTGTAGTTGTCATTTAACTCAACTTTCCACACTTTATGTAGTATAATAATTGAGATAATGTTCATTCAACTGTGTTCTGGATGAGTGGAAAATGTGAAATGCATTTTTTTTTAAGATTTCCATCCAAAATGATTTTAAAAATAGGTAAAACTATGATTCTTATTGGTAGGATAGGATTTTAAATACCTGAAAGCTTCATTTATGTAGACTATCTTATTTCTTAAGAACTTCAGATAGATTTAATTCTTACTAAAGTTAATTTTAATTTGACCTAATTAGTGGTAGAGATCTTATTTTATCTCTGGTGCCTTTTTCATTTATTGAACAGATTCTATCTTTAACTTAAAAGGACAGTCTTATCTCTTTTATGAAGTCCCTGGGTGGTACAAACAATTAACACGCTTGGCTGCTAACCAAAAGTTTTGGAGGTTTGAGTCTATCCAGAGGCACCTTGGAAGAAAGTCCTGTTGATCTGCTTCTGGAAAATCAGCCATTGAAGATCCTGTGGGACATAGTTCTACTCTGACACAAGTGAGGTCGCTGTGAGTCAGAGTCGACTCATTGGCAACTGGTGACTGATCATCTCTTTTATAAGTCTGGCAAGACAGCTGAAATACCATTTCGGGAAATTCTTTACTTCTTTCATAATATCTGTCAGACACTAATTGTTCACTAAGGAATTTAAAATTATGCAAATTGTGTCCATTACATATTTATTCATTTGTGAAATATTTATGGAGTAGCTGTATGCTCATGGAGATAGAGTGATGACCAAGGTAAACATATTTTCTACTTCCATGTCTTACAGGGACGCAAACAGGTATATTGATAATTATAATACAGATATGTTAGAGCTAAGGCTAGGTTACTTGCACAGGGCCCTCAGGGCAGCTCAAATATTTCTCAGCTTTTTATTCAACCTTTTCATATTCATTCTCTGCCTGGCTGAGCAAGAGACAAAATTGTAAGAGTAGCTATTCCAGACTTAATCTGTTCTGCTCAGAATTTAACTCACTCTCCACTGATGACTGACTTACCTTCTTATTTAATGAAAGACTTAGACCATTCTGAGGCAAGCTCTGTTGCCTTTTATCTTCTTCCCCTCAGAATGTTTTTTCATACCACCTATCCTTCTTTGGGATCATATTGGCCATTCCCCTTTTCCGCAGCTGACTTCCATTTAGATTCTTGATCCCAACTCTTTACTATATACTCTACGGTCTTGCTGAATAGGATATCTTCTTTTTCCTTTGCACATAGAATCCATGCCTTGAATTTTCAATCCCTCAGCTCTAACTTCTTTCTTGCAGCATGCTCAGATTTCTGTTAGGTGCCGTCTAGTCGGCTCTGGCTCTTGGTGACCTTATGTATAACAGAACGAAACACTTCCCAGTCCTGCGCCATCCTCACAGTTGTTGTTATGCTGGAGCCCGCAGTTGCAGTCACTGTGTCAATCCATCTCATTGAGGGTCTTCCTCTTTTTCACTGACCCTGTACTTTACCAAGCGTGATGTCCTTCTCCAGGGACTGATCCTCCTGATAACACATCCAAAGAAAGAAAGGTTTCTAGTCAATGAGAAATAAAACCTTTCCTTACCCCTCAAGCTATTGTCATCTCTTTCCTTCATCACCAAACTTCTTTAAATAATTACGTGTCTTTTTCTTCCCACCCACACAGTTTATAATCCTTATAATCAGGATTTTGTCCCCAATATTATTTTAAAACAGCTCTTGGAAAATCACTGATTAACACCAGTTGTTGATTTTGTGTAATATTCAGCCCTGTTGACTAAGCATTTCTCCTTAAAACTTTACCTTCTCTTGGCTTCAGAAACACCCCAGCCTGGTTCTTTGTCTTTCTTAGGGAATCTTTTCTAACTTTTATCACATCCTTTAATATACAGATTCCCTCTGAGTTGCTGTCATCGATTGACTTCATCTTCCTCTTCGTTTTCTCCTTCCACTCACTCTTACAGTTTTCATCAACTTGTTGAAGAAACTGCCTAAAACTCTATTCCTAGCCAATGGCTGTGCTTCTCTGGTCATGAAATGGGACAAGCAACATACTAAAGGTCAGGAGACCTTACTTAATTTCTCTGAGCTTTAGTTTCTACATTTGTAAAAAGAAGGTATGGGTGTAGTGTTTCAGCTGGGCTTCAAATGACTTCCAAAGGTGAGGTAAAAGCCAGGAGCAAATGCATGTTCAGGACATATGTGAGGCACCAGAATGTGAAGTTTATTAAAGTGGATTAGGCAGTAGAGTTTAAAAGGGTCATATTGTGGTGATCTTGAAATGCTAAACTTTAAGTTGAATTTGATGGCATTTAGGGGTCACATAACTGTCTAAGCACAGAATTGGTCTGGCAGCAGTGTGTAAAATCACAGGGCAGGGAAGAGACGGAGACTGAGTGAGATGTGAATGAGGTGGTAACACTGGTACTGCAGAGGGGTACTTGGGTAACGCTTTTGTTGCCATGTCATGAAGGTAAATGCTCTCTGCAAGTACCAAAGAAGAGCAGAAGAATACACACAAGAAGGAAGAGGTACTTATACTATATCTGCTTTTGTCGAGAACAGAAGAAGCCATAGTACAACTATGTCATGGAATGGCACTGTCCTCTAATCAAAAGAATTCTTACACCTGGAATTACACTTGATGATCATAAAGGACCCAAATATCTTTGGTGTGGATTTGCTCAAGTCTGCAAGGCTGTGGTAATCACTGTAGTCAGCTGTTAGAAGTGGACTTGTATCATCAAAACACTTAAATATCAGTAATTAATTAAACTTTATGAGAAACTTTATGAACACAAATTGTATTTGTGTTCATTTTTATAAAAGTCAAGGAAGGAGTGATAAAGTCTTTAATAAACTGCAACGAATTGATGGCAGCCCACTCACACTGTAAGACTTTTCTTGGTTTGCTGATTAGGGAAGAAAAGTTCTAAAAATGCTATAATTCTTTGAATAAAATCCCAAAATGGAACACATGTGGGAATCTATTTGGGAAATCTATTTTTGAATACTACAGATTTCTCTAGGTGTAGAAATGCAATCTGAGATTTTAAAGAGCCACGTTCCTTATATGTGAAGTAGCAGTTTCTTTGTATAATGCTTATGAATCTGCTTTCTGCTCACCTCTTTGAGGTTTCCCCCCTTTTTTGCAGCACCTTAAACACATTAATCTGTTTGGAAATAGACCAAGTTAGGAAATGAACTATCAAGTTGTAAATCAGGGAAGCTTGTCTAAAACTACACTCATTTTAGTTTTCTGAAGTCCAGGAAGATGATAAAAAACAGAAAAAGCACTAAATTGTAAGGTTTAAGACAGAATCTGTGTGGATTTTTTTGTTTTGTTTTTCCTCTTGGTACTTGACATATAGTATATATTCAGCAAATACTAAAGGATAAAGTAAAAAGCTGCAACTAGCAGTAATTTAGGGTTTGAAGTTACATGGTCAAAAGTGTGTTTGGGAAAGCAACTTTTCTTTGTTTTATGTATCTCTTTTATATTATGATAAATACTAAATTAAAAAATGTATCTCCCCTTTTTTTAACCTGTAATAGCATTCTTTTTTTTTCTTTTTTAAAATCATAAACTTCATAAACTAGCAAAAAATTAACAAAGACGAACACAAAGAGTTGCTGGAATTCCCACAACATGTAGCTCCATTGTTGAAAACAAATGCAGCTAGCAAATTTGTTATTGTCTGGGTAAATACTGGAAACCCTGGCGGCGTAGTGGTTAAGAGCTACGGCTGCTAACCAAAAGATCGACAGTTTGAATCTACCAGGTGCTCCTTGGAAGCTCTATGGGGCAGTTCTACTGTGTCCCATAGGGTCACTATGAGTCAGAATCAACTCGATGGCAGCGGGTTTTTTGGTTTTGGGTAAATACCCTTTTAAATTCAACATATCAAAACATAATTATTTAAAATGCTGTCACAGATGGCACATTCTGTGCTAACAAAATGATTCCCTAAGTATTGGTTTCCCTGCTTTCCTCCACCACCACCACCACCACCACCACCACGACCCCAGTAAAACAAAATCCACTGTTTTGATTTTTCCTGTGGCTTGACTCTTTCTGGACATTGATTTTTCTAAATTGTTCATAGGGACATAGAGATGAGCTTTTATTACTGATTAGAGATTAGTCATTTAAATACTTGTTATAAATGCTGATCCAAGGAGATTATCACAAACTACTACATGCATATATGTTATTTGTGTATATGTATGTGTGTCAGTAAAGATTAATGGGCAAAAGTTTTGCTTTCAGTGAATGTTTGCATTCCAGTTGTTGCTTAGAAAGGTTCCTTTGTCCTTTCAGAACTGCCTGCTGAAACAATGAAGTAAACATGTAAGAATATTATGGTTTTATTGTACTTTTGAAGAGATTGAACATCTAAGCAAATTAATTATTAAAGAATTTGTCATTCCTTGTCTTAACAGTTGTTTTTTTCTAAAGAAAGTGTCAGGAACTGTTACTAGACTGAGAAACTGGCAAGAAGTTTTTATGTGCTTTTGAGTTTATAGTACTCACAATCTATTTCAGTCTTTATTGCAATCAGCTAGGTAAAGCTCTGCTTTAGGCTCCCAGTATTTATGTTCACAGGCAAAATTTTTCTAAACCTCATGGAATTTTTAGTGTTCTTTGGGAAACAAAACCTAAGTCCACATTCTGTTCTTTTCAGAAGATTTTCTACTAAGAAAAGAACTTGCATTTTGTGGTTGGTTTTAGAATAGTATATTTGATCTTTTGTTTGTTCTAAGTATAATACTTTTTTTCAACAAGTGGGGATCATAAGATAAAAGAAATGTTAATATACCTTTTAGGATAAGCCCTTTCTTATGAGTCAGCTAGTTTTTCCTGGAGTATCCTGCCCTTTCTGCAGCTAAGGGGCGAGTAGATAAGTGTTCTGTGTACCATTAGCTCTCTAAAAAGTTGGTGAGGCAATCTGGAGGTCAGAACCCTGAATATAACCAGCTTTCTAGGATTAAATTCCAATTTACTTTATATTGTTTTGAATGACTCTTTGGGCATGGGAAACCCTAGTTGCATAGTGGTTAAGTGCTACACCTGCTAACCAAAAGGTTGATAGTTCAGATCCACCAGGTGCTTCTTGGAAATTCTATGGGGCAATTCTACTCTGTCCTGTAGGGTCACTATGAATCGGAATCAACTCGACGACAACAGGTTTGTTTGTTTTTTTTTCCTTTGGGCCTGAATTACTCCACCTTTTTTTAAAAATAAGAGCAAAAACTCAGCTTATTAGTAGCCAAATTTCTGGTTTTGATCCAAAGCCAATTTCTGGTTATGCTTCCAGATTTCAGTGATTAATTATAGTATAGTACTCTGTTCTGGAAGGAGCCCTGGGTGGCACAGTGGTAAGTGCTCGGCTGCTAACCTAAAGGTCAGCAGTTCGAACCTACCAGCTGCTCTGCAGGAGAAAGATGTGACAGTCTACTTCCATAAAGATTAACAGCCTTGGAAACCTTATGAGGCAGTTCTGCTCTGTCCCATAGGGTTGCTATGAGTTGGAGTCAGCTTGATAGCAACGAGTTTGGGGTTTTTTATTCTGCTTTGTGTGGTGCAAACAGCAGTGCACTCGACTGCTGACTAAAAGGTTGGAGGTTCAAGTTCACCAAGAGATAACCTCAGAAGAAAAGTGTGGCAATCTGTTTCCAAAAAATCAACCATTGAAAACCCTATGTTCTTACTTTGATATGTGTGGTTGCCATGAGTCGAAGTCAACTCAACGACAACTGGGTATACTACTCTCTACCACACCCACCTCTCCCCAGTGTGAATAAGGTGGAGCAGATATAATTTTATGGAGAAAGCAATTAAGGCTCAGAGAAGTTTAGTGATTGGCAGTCTCCTGTTAAATGGCTGCACTAGAATCAGAAACCAGGTCCTTCTGACTCCAAGCTCATGTTGTCTCTACTACAACAAACTTAAGAAAAAGAAAGGAGAGATCATTTGGGGAACCACTGTATTCTTTCCAGTGAGGGATAATCAGGGCCTGAACCAAAGCATTGGAAATAGAAACAAGATTGAAGGATTTTATTTGACTTAGTGTCAGATTGGACGTGAGTAGTGAGAGAACAGAAGGATTAAAGACATGAGTTCTTGGGTATGTGGGTGAATGGTTCTGGCAGGGGAGAAGTAGCTTTGGGGAGGGATCCTCTTCTGTATTCCTCTTTCTATATGGAATTGTGTATATTGTTTGAGATGTGGTATATTTGGTTGAAGACATCCAGCAAGCACTTACAACCCAGAATGCTGCTCAGGTTTTTGGAGTCTGTTGTTAGGGATCCAGAGGAGTCAGACAGGATGTATCCTTAATTCCTATATCGTTGTCTTAATCCTGTGATGCTGA